GGGGCCGCGGGGGCCGCGGGGCCTTGCTCCGCCCCGGACAGGGCGGGACGGGGAAGTCCCGCCCAGGAGGCCCAGGCCCTGGGCGGCCCCTAGGGCTGCGCCTGCCTCCTTCCTGCCGCGGCGACCCCGGGCGGGGAGGGCGGGTCGGAGCCTAGAGGAGAGGCGGGGGCGAGGCGGGCGGGTCATGCCTTGGTTGCCCCGCGCCGCGCTCCTTTGGGACGTGGTCCTGGGCTTTTTGGGCACCGCCGCCTTCCTGATCGACCTGGGCGCCGACCTGTGGGCCGCGGGCCAGTATGTGCTCAGCGGCCGCTACCTGTGGGCCGCGCTGGTGCTGGGGCTGCTGGGCCTCGCCTCGGTGGCGCTGCAGCTCTTCAGCTGGGTCTGGTTGCGCGCCGACCCCGCCGGCTTGCACGCGCCGCAGCCCCCCGGCCGCTGCCTGGCGCTGCTGCATCTCTTGCAGCTGGGCTACCTGTACAGGTGAGCACCACGCCCTCGGGAAGAGGGAAGCGGAACGGAGCCCGGCGGCACCTGCGGCCGGGCTGCTAGCGCCGGGGAGAGCCCTGACACCGGGAAGGGGGTGGGAAGGAGAGGATCGGGGGCCCAGGAGAGCAAGCTAAGCCCTTGTGGGCACTTCTGCTGACAGGTGAGCGCCCCCCCCCGCCCCGCCCCGAAGAAAGAGAGGCCGGCTGAGAGCCCTCAGAGCCCATCTAGCCCTACCCTCCCTGGCACTGGGGAAGAAACTGAAGCCCAGAGAAGAAAAGGAGGCACAGGATTTGGAGTCAGACCTGTCTGGGCTCCCGTGCTAGCTAATTTGCCATCTGTGGCCTCATTCCTGCGTTCTCTAAGCCTCAGTTTCCTCCTCTGTGAAAAGGCGGCAGGAACGTAGAGACAGGTGTGGCAGGCGGGCCTGTTGTGGGGAGTGAAGGCAAGAGCCGAGTGTGCCTAGCTTGGTGCTTGGCTGTTGGTGGACTCTCGTGTAATGGCAGACCGGTGATGTGTTTCATACAAAAAATGTTCCTTTTTGCTGTGGGTGGAGCCTTGGGCAAGTCACTTGAGCCCTCTGGGTCTCAGTTTACTCATTGTTCTGGTGGGGATGGTTGTTGCGCCTGCCTCTGTTTGGTAGGGATTAAACGAAATTAAACGAAATAAGACCAGTAAGTTGCTTTGGCTCAGAGTAAGCCTTCAACAAATTACCGGGGTCACCCAGGAGCTTCAGCAGCCCTGACCCCCAGAGCAGAGCTTGTTCCCTCAACCCCTCCTCCCCTCCCCACCCTCTCGTCCCCAGAGCAAGCAAGAGCACAGCGATGGGGTCTGACTCATCCGTGTCCCCTGAGCCAGCCAGGGCTGGGCAGAGGCTGGGTTCCAGAAAATCTGTGTGGGCTGTACTCCTCAGAACTGGCAGGGCCCTCTAGAGATGCAGAAGCTGAAACCAAGGGATCAGAGTCAAGCAATGGAGTCAGGACACCATGTGGTCTGGGTTGGGATGGGGTGGCTGGAGCCAGGATCTGCTCTTGAATCCATTTTGCAGATTCTCTCCAGATCTTGCTTTGACAAAGCTGCGTTGAGCCTCTAGGAGTGGACAAGAGGAGCTTTGAATGTTGCAGTTTTCCGTGAGGGACTGCACGGGCCTCGATAAAATGCCGAATGGGCAGGAAGGAGGGCAGAGGCTCCTGCTGAGGGAGAGCCTCAACCTGGGCCTGCCCCCCTGCTCCTTTAGTGTGTTGTCAAGTCCATCCAGGGGAAGTGACAGTAAATTTCTGATGAATGAATTGGCACTGAGTGAATGGGCTCACCTCCCAATAGCCAACTAAGAACAGTTCCGGGTGGGGGACATCAGGGTGCATCTTCCACTGCCCCCTCTCATGCCAATGGGTCACCCGGGCCTGTCTGTCCAACCTCTGGGCTCCCTTAACTCTGTGTCTGCCTCCATGCCCACCACTCTGGACAGTCCTCTTAAATGGATCTTCCTCCCGGTCTTACCCCTTTTCCCCTTCCACTTCTCCACGGCCAGAGAGATCTTTCTACAGCACAGTCTGACCTATCCTGCCTGTGCACAGAAGCTTTCAGTGGCCCCCCTCCCCCACAGGGTCCTAAGAAAATCTTAGGCTTGCTAAAATTTGAGAACTACCACCTGGGGCAGTTTCATAGTATGCCTTTGAAATTCACACGGCTTTGGGTCCGAATCCCGTTTCTACCATTTATTAGCTCTCTGGTCTTGTTTCCCCATGTGTCAAATGGGGGTGTTGTAAGAAGTAAATGGAACAGGGTTTGTGATGACCCCGGGACATCCTGGCCAGCCCGGGCGGTGGTAGTTGGTACCCATCCCCATTTTACGATAAAGAACGAGTTCGGCGAGGTTAAGTCGCTCGTGCCCAGGGCCCCACAGCATGTCAGTGACGAGCTCGGACTGGAGCCCGCCCGCACCCAGGCCCGGGGCGAGGGGAGGTGGAGCGCAGCGGACACTAACCCGGCCCCTCGGGGCATCCATACCCCGCCTGCCTAGGTGTGTGCAGGGGCTGCGGCAGGGGCTCCTCGTGTGGCAGCAGGAGGCGCCCTCTGAGTTTGACCTGGCTTATGCCGACTTCCTAACCCTGGACATCAGCATGCTGCGGCTCTTCGAGACCTTCTTGGAGACGACACCACAGCTCACGCTGGTGCTGGCCATCGTGTTGCAGAGCGGCTGGGCCGAGCCCTACCAGTGTGAGTGATGGGCCGGTGGCCAGGCCCCCTTTATGGCGTCGGGGGGCTTCCGACGAAGGGCAGGAGTGTTTTCACTCTTCGATCAAGGCTGCTTAGAAAACAGGAGGATGTGCCTTAGGCAGCTCTGCGTTCAATTCGGAAGTTGCTCCTTGGCCTTCCGAGTGAGGACGGGTGGTAGCGCGGGCGGCCGTGGTGGCTGGTGCTCCTTCTTCTCTCCACCTGACACGAGAGGCAAGAGGTGCAGGGAGGAGAAGTGATCTGCACCGGGGCACACAGCACTCACTGGGCACATACTTCTGTTTGTCTGTTTGCAGCCGCCGGTGTCTAGGGTCAGGGCTACCTGGGAACGGTCTCCACTGTGTGTGTAGGGGAGGCAGGGAGCGAGGGAAGAGACAGATTTCCCTAACTTTTTATTTCACGAACATTTAGTTAGCTGCTGTTATGTGCCAGGTACTGGGCTGCTGGGGACCCCAAGGGAGCAGAATGTTTCGTACCCTGGAGGAGCTCAGAGACAAGGCAGTAGGGAATGACTGTGTGCTAAGACCCCAGACAGAAGGGGGTGAGGTGTTACAGGTCCCCTGGGGGGGGGGGTGACTCTAGGGGAAATTCTGGCTGGAGCTCGCAGGGCACGTGTTCCTGGCCTACCCAATATTGTGGGCTAAGCTTGTCCAGGTCAGCGAATGCAGCACGCTAGGC